AAACGTTCCTCTGGAAAACCTTTGAAGTTTACGTTACTTCATGTCAGTATCTGTTCCAAGCTCGTTCGAAATTTTTCAAACACACTTGGCTTTGTGAGTTTGTGCCGCTATGCTTCTTTACTTAACTACGACATTTTCATTCAGCCAGGTACACCATCAAACTGATCAAAATGTCAAATGTATAACAATAATAATGAGAATTGAAGCTATTTCGTTTCAGATATATTAATATACTTAGGGAAATAATTGAAAATAATTTCCCTTTCCCCCAGAATTTGGGCGTCCAAAGGCGTCCATTTTTTTTCTAGGGGTGTTCCTGGACGCCCTTCTGGCTAAAAGCCTGCTTATCATGTTTTCATGCTTGGAAGTAGTCATTGCTACAATTTAATCAGCTATGCCTATTATTCAAGGACTTTGCATTTTTTTTTACGAGTGTTTGACTTCCAATGAAAATTGTTGATCATTCAATAGGTTTGTTCTACCGAGTTGAATCGCAGATTGGAAGCGCAAAAAAGCAACCATATTGCAAAATCTAATAATATACCTTCGCCTTGAGCCAATGATCCAGCGTTGTTTTGGATGGAAAGGAACGTTAAAAAAATGTTTATGCGAATGTGGAATGATGTTAGGACGACCAAACCATAGTCTCCCTCGCAGCCGCTCTTTAACGACACAAAGAGCCGCTCTTTAACGACACAAAGAGCGGCTGCGAGGAAGACTAACCAAACCAGTAATAAGAGCGTTTCTCACTGTCCTCAGTGCTATGTATCTTCTAAGTGTCTCTCCAACTTCTCTGTTCTAACGTGCAGGCTGATGGTAGGAATGACAGTATTTTTTTTGTTCTAGCCGTATACAGTTGTTTCTAAACTCGGTATACCATGTGCCTCGCAGGCTAGTAGTATACAAAGCCATAATATGAATCTTAAACACGATCGATGTTCTTCTTTGTTGTAGCGTTTAATCGAAGCTGTTCGTAAAGAAAATATAAGTGAGGTGATCCTATTGCTAGCTCACAGTGAGAGAAAAGATGTCAATGAAGGAGAAGATGATGATTTAATAAGAACTCCACTTCATATTTCTTCATCTAAAGGAAATGTTGTATTGACGCTCTTATTAATATGGGTAGGTTTTTTCTACTGCTAGCCGCGCTGCCCTAAACCACAGAGTTAAGTCTATCACTGTTGATCGAGGATGGGGAATCGACTTGTCACTTGTGTAGAGTAACTTCCCTGTGCTTGAAGAATTTTCTTGGGTTTGTTCGGGTTTCCTCCATCACGAAAAACTAACCCTTAGTTGTCGAGCATCAAATAACTCGTTATCATTTTTGTCACGCTAAGGAGAAGTGTTATGTATGGCCTGGCAAACAACAAGAGGCAGTAAGCTAGTTGGTACCTTAGGCTAACACACCCTTTCGATAATTACGTCGCACATACTTTTTGGTCTTGGAGCCTCGCTCTCATCAGTAAATTACGCAAGGTGATTGGCTCACGATTCATGAGAGCGAGGCTCCCAGGCCAAATGACGTAATTATCGAAAGGGTGTATTGGCAGAACCAGACTGCAGCTGCGCGTGCGCTAATTTCAGCCCGGGCAACTCGTATAACAACAGGGGGTAACAAGTTTATTGTATGAATTGTTGTGGCAAATCTAAACCCCTAATGCCAACATTCAATTTTCAAACGCCCTCCTTTTTTTCCAGTATTTTGCAGATGTAACCTTGCTTGACGGCCAAGGTCGAACTGCATTGTGGTATGCACGAGAAAGTAGTAGCAGAGAATGCGAAGAAATATTAAGATATAATGGCTGTCAGAGCATGGGTCGGTCTTTGTCATGTAGTGGATCTTCAAATAGTGGTGATCTAACATCATAGTTTGTACGTAGTCGTCTTAAATATTTATATTGAAAGGAATTACACCACAAAGGCACCGTTTTCACGAGCTCGGCATGAAGTATGAGCGGGACGAAAATTTTACAGATGTTTTCATGATACCTGCAGGTCAAACATAATTGATTTTGTTTCGCGTAATTCGAACAACCACAATCAATATTCCCTTTAGTTGTGTATTATCAGTTTTTCCCAAAATTTCAACCTCGTAAATGTTTCGACCCCGTAAATGTTTCGTGTTAAGCCGGTTTTCCACTTCGCCCGTATCGTACCGAAACGTACTGGTGAGCATGCGCTGATTGAAAAGAGGTTTATAAATCCACGTACTTCCGGGTGTATTCGCTTATCAAAATCAAAAAAGTTCGTCGCAAGTCAACTTTTTGGCGCACTACGGAAGTACTAATCAATCAACATTCACGAAATTTTGAAATTTAAGAACGTTTTTGATACGTTTCGGAACGGTACGCTTGAAGTGGAATACCTGCTTTACATTCATTCCGTATTTGTACAGGGCTGAAAATAGTCAGGTTCTGTCTAACTAGCGAAACGGCTCGATATAGAATAGAAATAATAGATATAGAATGCGTACTTGATCACGAATCATTTCTCCACTTTTTTTCATGCGTTTTCAAATCCGTTAAAGGCGGATTTCTATTCAGTGCAAAATGTTGCGCGATCGACTTTTTGCGATCGCTTTCTTTTGAAATACAGTCAAGCGGAACAAATCTCATTAGCTGTAGTTGACTGCACATATTTCAAAAGAAAGCTGATAGCAAAAAAATCGATCGTGCGAAATTTTGCACTGAATGGAAATTCGCCTTAAGTTTTCATCGTCGAAAGTTTTTCTATTCTATTCTCCAGACCAGTCGATGTATTTTTGCAATCCGTTCTCGTGTTAGCAGTGACAAGAGACAACACTACTGCATAACTGAAGTGCATGAAATTGTCTCGCTCTTCGTTCTGCTGTCATGTAAACGGGGTCAAGGATTTGCCTTTCCTCCGTTCAGTATGGTTAAAACCATCCGGCAAAAGTCGCCACCAGTGGGATTCAACTTCTGTAGGGATAATTTTGGGCTAAGTAATTGATATAGTTAAATGTAAAAAATCTTAGTTAAGTCAGATAAAATTCCGCGGGAAGCACTTCTTGGCACCAAACATTTTGGGAAATCCATCATAATTTGTACATAAAAGCTAATCTCATACGTATAGAGAATTATATTATATATCTATATATGTAAATTTATTGGTATACAATTAGAATAAATTATAAAGATATATATTGATTGACTGTGACATAAATAAATTATCAAAATAGCTAGTATGTTTTGTCTATTAATTAATATTCTAACTAATAGTAAGATTTTTCCAGAGATTTCTATGAAGTAGGCCGTTTTCAGAATGCGAAAGCAATGGATTTTCAGTGCGACATTTCGACATTTATTTTTGGTGGGTTAAGTCAAGAAAGGAAGCTACTACCTGCGGGATTTAATATAGAGCGAACGTTACATGACTCGAGCGTCGTTTAACACAAAATGTCTTCCAAGCCCTTGGGCGTTCGAAGTAAAGTCCGAGGATTCATAAAGTTTAGCTTAAAACCCTGCATAGGAGGACAAAATGACGTGATGCCAGAGAGGTCGTTCCAGAGGAGTATGAATCGAAGTCGGAGGATCTGAAGAATGTGATTTTACAAAAGTTACGAGCGGCAGGAAGCCGTTGTGGGGGCTTGTGTACTGGTCGCTATTGATTCCGTGACCACCGGATTTGCAGTTGTAGTAGAAAGTAAGTTGAAACCAGTATGAGGAGATTTTAATCGGGTAGACTATGGGGAGTTGTAATCGTGGGTTATAAATTTAGTTGAAAAATACTCTGAATTAACCGCCCCCACGCTCCTGTGACAATTTATTGGTGAGAGATTTCTAGTAAAGCGCATCGCAATACATTTTCCATGAAGAACCTCCAGTGATTGGGTTATGCAAGATAAACCCAGCCCGATCAAATCCGTGTCGTGAAACGGCGCAGGGTAGCGGAAACCATGTTGCAAACGATGGAGAGAGGGTTTGATGAATTCATGCACGTTTGAATCGGTTTGACGTTTCTGTGTACTTTATGAGAACTTTGGAAACTATGCACAAAAGCGAGATTTGGTCGATAGTTAATCACTATTTTGTTTCAGCATTGTCCTCAGAGATATTCACTATGCCCCCCCGTGGATGCTATCCTTTATGACGTTCTTACATGAAGTTTTGTATGTGTGATTCTCTTAAAAATTTCGAAAACACAAAACACTGCAGGAAAGTGAAAATGTCAGCAAAAAAGGACTATTATAAAATTCTTGATATATCTCGCGAGGCATCGCAGAGTGATATAAAACGAGCTTACCGTAAACTAGCTCTTAAATATCATCCAGATAAAAACAAAAGCCCAGATGCGACGAAGAAATTTCAAGATATAGGTGAAGCGTACTCGGTTCTTTCAGACAAGGCAAAACGACGCAGATATGATTTGGGTAGCACAACACCGTTCTCAGGATTCAGCGACAATGAATTCAGCGATTTTGCCTCGGACTTTGCTACCACCTTTTCTGGAAGTTTCACAATGGACGACGCTTTTAATGTATTTTCAGATTTTATGTATGGTGGGGATATGCCTGTGTTTTTCCGGGAAGAAAACACGACATATCATAAAGTTGATGTGCCTTTATCTGTGGCACAACATGGGGGGAATATAGATCTTCCTTTTGAAAAAGCAGAGGGGGAGAACTCTCTTCATATTGATGGTATTTATAGTGGAAAATGGAAACCATTCATTGTTGTCGGAGAAAGTGATACTGTTATTTTAAAAGTTGTGTTCCCCCCTGATATGAGTTTGGAAGAAAGACATCGACAGCAGAAAATGTTTCTAGGAATTCATGCTATATCATGGGTGGCAAATACAGTTCAAGATGTCTTGGAAAGTCATCCAGTAATGGGAGCAATTGGCTTGGGGTTTGGTGCCGCTGCACTGTTTATGTTAACAGTTAAAAGGTTAACTGATCATGAGTGACTATAAAAATTGTATATACACACAGATCCTATAATACATGTATTTGTATAATTAAACACATCAAACAAGCTTCATCTAGAAATAGTCGTATCTGATCTGTTTATGTGTTTTCAA